ATTGTGAGATCGATTGTGAGATCGATAGTCAGATCAATTGTGAGATAGATCGAGTGAGATCGATTGTGAGATCGATCGAGGGAGATCGATCGAGCGAGACCGATACTGAGATCGATAGTGAGATCGATAGTGAGACCGATCGAGTGAGACGTTGGTTCCTCCCCCCCCGAATCTCCTTATCACCCGAAGGGTGGTCGTATAGGTAAAATATAAGTTTTGGAATGTGTGTCTCTCTCTGCATCTCTGCCACCGTGCCTCTGGGCAAGGAGTGGGCGTGTCCCCAGGTCCTTTGCCGAATCCCTGGAGCCTCTCAGTCCTCCCTCCTGAGGAGTCTTCAAAGGGACCTGGACCCCACCGTCCGGAATCTCCTGGGGCGTCCCCCGTGCCCTCTGGGCGCCCCCGCGGCTTGTCGCACGGCATGCTCTGCCCCAGGAGGGCCCCAAGAGGGGCCCAGAGAGGGCCCGAAGGGGCCCCCAAGACAGCCCAAGGGGGCCCCGGGTCGCCGAACGATGGCTCCAAGACGCTCAAGATGGCCCCCAGACGGCCCGAGAGGCCTCCAAGACGCCGCCTCGCACTATCGACTATGACACGGTGGCTGAGTTTGCCGAGAGCGATCGGGCACAGAACACCGAATGAAGCACTGAACAATCCCACCAGCCCGTTGGGCGACAGGCGGTTTCAAGAGGGGCTCCTCTTCCACAACCCCTCTTCCCTTCGGGGAGGGGAACCATCATCCCCCTCCCCTCCCTAAGGATTTTTGGGAGGGGCCGCGAGGTGTCTGAAGGTCCTTTTTCGGCCCCTGGGGGGGCCAATTCTTAACACCCCTCACCGAGGGTCGTGGCCCCCGAATGGGGGACAAACATCGAGTATCCCCCTCGTTTGACCGGCCGCCTCCAAGATGGCCCCAAGAGGCCCTCCATGACTCCCAGGAGGCTCCCAAGAGGGCCCAAAGGACGCCCCAAGAAGCCCCAAGAAGCCTCAAAGAGGCACCCGAGAGGCCTCCAAGAGGCCCCGAGCGGCCTCAGAGAGCCCAAGACGACCTCCAAGATGGCCCCCAAGATGCTCCAAGCGGCCCCGACACCGCTCCAAGACGGCTCGAGATGGCCACGAAGCCTCCCGAGCCTCCCTCGCTATTTGACTATGCGTGTATCTTCCTCTCTCCCACCGTCAACTCTCATGGGCATCGCTTCTGGATGGGCCGGTGGGGAATTTTGGTACGCGGGCGAGCGAAGCGAGCCGAACGCAGTGCAAGCAAGGGCAGGGCTGGTGGGGATGTGCGGAGCGTCAAGAATCGCATGCTCAAAGAATTCCGAGCCGAATTGGTCGCAACGAAAAAAATGGGACAAACCTTGCCCACATACCTACGTAGCCCTGAGCTGCTCTACATAACTCAAAAGGAGTTCTAGAGTCCATGCTCGGAATACACAGTCGCACATACATACGTATGATCCGGGGTCGAGGGGTCACAGCCCCCCAGATGGGATGGGCCCCAGGATTCCACAGGCCCCCCAACAGATGGGTTGGGGGGACGACAACGACGACGACAACGACGACGACGACGACGACGACGACGACGACGATGCCGCAGTCGCCGCCGCCGCAACGGACACCGACGGACGACGAACCACCCCACACCCACAGGGGAAGGGGGGGACACGGACACCCTCCACCACGCCACGCCCACAGGACCACGACCACAAGGGGGTAGGAGCGATCCGATTCGCGAGGCCTTCGCAATGCTCACGGGCATACCCGTCATTTGGGAAGGGGCTCGATCCCATATGCATTGGGAGGAGGGGCAACCCTGGATCATAGATGTGTGTGCGTGTCTGATTGCAAGCACGTGTATGATACATGTGTTTGTGTATGTATGTGTGTGCTGTACTGGTCTGCTCTGAGATCAAGGCTCTGCAACACTGCTTCTCTCCTCCTCCTCCTCCTCCTCCTCCTCCTCCTCCTCCTCCTCCTCCCCTCCCCCTCCTTCTCCTCCTCCTCGTCCTCCCTCCTCGTCCTCCTCGTCCTCCTCGTCCTCCTCGTCCTCCTCCTCCTCCTCCTCCTCCTCCTCCTCCTCCTCCATCCTGCTAATTTCTTCTGCTCCTATCTGCCTCCTCCTGCTCCGCCCGCCCCTCTTCCTTCCTCCTCCGCCCTCTCCTCCTCCCTCCTTACTCCTCCTCCTCCTCCTCTATTCTTCTTTTGCGGAGCACGGCTTTGCTCGTAAGATCGCCGCGTCAGCCTCCATCCTCCTCCTCCTCCTCCTCCTCCTCCTCCTCCTCCTCCTCCTCCTCCTCCTCCTCCTCCCCCTCCCTCCTACCTCCATGCTCCTCCTAAAGCATCTATCCTGGTCCCTCCTCATCGCTCCCCCTCGTCCCCCCTCCGTGCGCTCTTGGGTTCCCCCGCGTGCGCTCTTGGACTCCCCTGGCGCACGCTGGCAAGGAGTGCACGGGGCTCTGCGTGCCGTACGCGTGATTCAGGTTGGCCGCACCTCAGCACCGGGGGGTGGTGGAGGAGGAGGAGGAGGAGGAGGGAGGAGGAGGAGGAGCAGACGACGAGAGCATGGGCTAGGGGGGCGCAAGAGAAAGAGGGTGTGGCGGAAGGAAGAGGTCAGACCGTCAGACGTCATTGTCGTCCTACTCCTCCCTTCCTCCTTCTCCACCCCACACCCTCACCCTCGTCATCATCATGTTCCTCCTCCTCCTCCTCCTCCTCCTCCTCCTCCTCCTCCTCCCTCCTCCTCCTCCTCCTCCTCCTCCTCCTCCTCCTCCTGGGAATCCGCCACCGTGCCACCTGGCAAGTTGAGGCTTTGTAGAATGCCAAGTGCAGCCTTGCAGGGTTTGTGTAATTCTCATCGGAGGACCCCCATCTACTAGCCGAGTGCCGCGTGCGATCGTCCCCCTTCCCGAGGCCACGATCCCTCGTGAGGAAACGACGGGTCCGCCGTCCCGAGACCGCGACCCTATGTTGAAAGCTACAAGACCTACCATCGTAAGCGAGCCTCTGGGTCCGGGCTCTCGAGTTTCCGGGATGGCCGAGGCGAGTCGCCAAGGCTGCCAAAAGAGCCCAAGATGCCTCGCAGACGGCTCCAGGTGGCCCCACGGCGGCCAAGCACAGCCCACGAGGCCACCAACACGGCCCAAGAGGGCCGGAAGAGGACCCCCAGCAAGGCCCGAAGAGGCCACACACACATTGACTTCCCCGGAGTGTCTGAACTATTGGGCGTCTTCACCGTTCTGGGCTTCCTTGAGCTCCAGACGGCCTCCAGGACGGCCACAAGACGACCCAAAAAGGCCACCAAATTGCCAGATCATCCTCCAAGACGGCTTCAGTGCAGTGCAAGAGGGCCCACGCTAGGAGGTCCCAAGACGGCCCAACGGGTGCCCCGAGCTGGCCCAAGAAGGCCTCAGGGCGGACCCAAGACGACCTCAGAGAGAACCTCGGCGGCCCGAGGCGGCGCAACGGCTCCACAGCGGCCCCACAACGGCCCTCCAGGCGGCCGAGAGGGCGCCAAGACGGCCCAAGAGAGCGCCCCAAGACTGCCCGAGAGGGACCCAGGACGGCCCAGAAGTGCCCGACGGGACCCATGGACTGCTTCACAGGACCCCAGGAAAGGATGGAAGGAAAGGGGGGGGAAGACGACGAAGACGACAGAAGCACCCCCGACACGACGCAGAAGAGCGCCACGTGCTTCCGAGATCACGAGCCTCGGGACGGGAGGTGTCCTGTGGCAGGGCCCCCCTGTGCGCCCCCGAACACCCGCCACCCGAACTGCTGGACTGCCACGGTGGCGGAACGTGCCGCAGGCAGGTGGACACGGGCTCGAAAGAGGAAGGGGAGAGAGGGGGGGAGAGGTGAAGGGGCCCTGGGACACACAAGGATTCCCCATATTTCCCTACACTTCCTTTGTTTTTGTCTTCCCCACCACTTCCCATATTTTTTCATGTTTGTGGGGGAATGGAGGATTGATTGTGTCTGTGTGTTTCGTTCCCTCCTGAAGAGGATCGTGCTCCCCAGAGGGAGGCAGGTAGGGAGCGACGACGCGGCGAGCTCGACCCTCGAGGTTCGAAAGCGACTCCGAGCTTGCTGCACGCTCCTGGAGGCCCTCCCAGAAGCCCCGGGGGTCCTCTGGAGGCCTCCGAGAGAGAGAGAGAGAGAGAGACGGCGCCCGCGGCGGCCTGCCAGCACGCGGCCTTGGGTCGGCATCGCTGCCCACGCGGCGACGTGCTCACAGCGGCGAGACGTCCCCGAAGCATGGCCCCCGAGGGGCCTCCAGGCCTACCCGGAGACGCGGAAGAGCATCCGAGAGGCCCGTGGACGGCCCAGGCAGCCCCCGAGAGGCCTCCGAGACGACATTTGCAGCACTGGAGGCCCCGAAGAGACTCGTGAGACGGCCTGAGATCAGAGCGTAAATTACCTACCCCGCTTTCGCTTCCAGGCAAAACCAAGTCATACCACGCGCCTCCTCGTCAAGCGGCCTGACCAGCGCAGGCCGTAGTTTGGCGTCGCTTGGAATCTCTTGGAAGCGAGGGTGGTCAAAAGCGAGGCAGGTTTGTTTGCGCCCTCTGAGGGGGCGCCAGAAGGCGTCCAGCAATCCTCCGAAGAGGCTCCGTGGAGTCGAGGAGCCCGGCGGCCTCCGGTCCCCGGGGAGGCTCCCGTGGCGAGCGGCGTGCAGCAGAGGATGCTTGCCACGGCCGAGGCGGGCACACAAGCGGGGCCGACGAGGGCCCGCCGGGAGGGGTGCGGCACGGGCTCCTTCCTAGGGGTGGCTCTGCCGGGGCTCGCCGTCCCTACAGTCGGGGCGTTGACCTGAGGAACCCTACATAAGGAACGAGGCCCCTGTTTTCCATAAGTGAACCTTCGATTTCCTGCCGAGAACACAAGGGAAGCCTGAGGCAAGCTGTGAAACAATCAAGGAACACGGAGCCCCTCCCCAACGAAAAGGGTTCCTGCTTCAGGACCCCTACTGTACACGTCTGGCACGGCGGGCCACGCCGTGTCACACACACCACAGGTCGAACCAGACGGGGCCGGGGGCAGCGAAGGCCAGTGAGAGACGGCTCGACAGCTCGCGCCAGGACCTGCGACGGAGCGGGGAGCGTCGGACCAGCCCAGGGCCAGAGGAGAGTGTTCGGCCCATGTGCTCGCAGGTCTGCTCCCGCCGACCCCCTGGGCACACGAGCGGACACGTGCGCGACACCGGGAGGCGGGATGGGGCGCTGTCAATTAGCGGCGCGCACAAGGGGGTGGGGGGAGGGGGGAAGGCTTCTTAGAAGGAGTCTGCTTCTTAGAAGGCGCCGGCCTTACATCTAGAGGTAAGGCCCGCGCGATCTAAGAAGCAGGGGCGCTTCTTAGAAGCCTTCCCCCCTCCTCCTACCCCCCTCTGCGCGCCGCCAAGTCAGGGGAGGAGCTGGAGGCAAAGGGCAGACGATGCACGAGTGTAACGAGGGAGTGAAAGCTTCGACGGCGGGGAGGCCGGTGCGGACGGGGAGCACAAAGATGAGGACGGGGAGAAGCAACACCCGAGCCCTTCCTTGGCTAACCGACTTTGCGTCCATCGATGCCCGAAATCAGATAGGTCAGGTCTGACATCAAACAAGGCCGACAACATCAGACCAGCACGGACTGCGCGCCGCCCGAACACACAATGCCAGACAGGACAACGCCACACAGGATAAGACCAAACCATACATTTCAAGGCCAACGAAGCCATACAGCACGTGATATGGGCAACGCAAAACGTGAGCGAAAGATGGGCCAGTGGGAACGCGCGAAATGCGTATGAGTAAACTTTTGGCCTGCTCGGTCGCCTGTTCCCCCTTACTAGTAATACTCTTCAATCTGGCTTCTCCTCCTCCTTCTCCTCCTATAGCATCCTTTTTCTTCCTCCTCTTCGCGCAAGACCGCTCCTGGTTTTCAACATGGCCAGCTTTTCGCGTTGTATCAGTGTTCAAGTGCCCGATGCCCGAAATGGGCTCCCAGGGGCCGAACAGTCAGAAAACAACAAACTCTGGCACAACTTGCTCGATCCTCCCTCCTTCTCCCCTAAGTATCGTCACCCCCAACCTCTGCGAGGGATGCGTCTTGATAAAAACCTCGAGCGAAATCTGGCCGTGCCGACGACAACCCTCTGGAAGCCCACACAAGGGCCCAAAACGCCAAAACCTGTACACTCGATCCTTGAACCTACCTTATAGGTCTACGCGCTCGGCCATGAAGCCCGTGCAAACCATCCGCCTTCGGCTGCAATCGGCGGCAATCCCCAGTCTTTGGCGGCCTCCTGCCCGAAACCTGGCTGGCTCGGGCCAGCAGGAGCCGTGAGAGCCAGCGGTAGAAGGGGGTACCGGTTCAGCGGGGGGAGCACTGAGCTGGCATCCGCGATTGCCCACACCAACCATCGATTGCCCTGAATCGTGCTCCAGATTTCGTAATAAAAGGGAGGGGGTCTGGACCCTCCAAGACAAGCCATTTCAGACCCCCCCCGTGGGAGAACCCTCCAAAACATCGTCCCCAGACCCCCCCAGGCCCTCCAAGATAGCCTGGAAGAGACCCCCCCCGAAATGAGACCCCCCTCCCTTTATTACGAAATCTGGAGTAGGGTTCGGATGCCTCCACGTGTTCGACGACTTCCGAACCGTACCCCCGCCGCCCATCGAGCTGCCCGAATCGCTGAATCGTGGACCGGCGATGGCAGGGTTGGTGAAGGGGCCCCAGGACACACAAATAAATACACACAAATAAAAGTATTCCCCATATTTTCCTATATTTTCTGGGTTTTTGTCTTCCCCCCCAATTCCCATATTTTCCTATATTTTCCTGGGAGTCGACGATCAATTGTGTCTGTGTGTTTCTTTCCCTCCTGAGTTGGGCCTTCGCCGCCGAGATCCGACCCCCAACGTGGCCCACTGGAGAGGCGGAGGGGGGGGCCGCCAGCGACTGCACACCGATTGTGGGCAAACAAACCTGCCTCGCTTCCACGCTGCACGCCGCTCGCCACGGGGGCTCGCCACGGCAAGCATCCTCTGCTGCACGCCGCTCGCCACGGGAGCCTCCCCGGGGACCGGAGGTCGCCGGGCTCGACTCCACGCGGAGCCTCTTCGGAGGATTGCTGGACGCCTTCTGGCGCCCTCTCAGAGGGCGCAAACAAACCTGCCTCGCTTTTGACCACCCTCGCTTCCAAGAGATACCAAGCGATGCCAAACTACGGCCTGTGCTGGCCAGGCCGCTGGACGAGGAGGCGCGTGGCATGACCTGGTTCTGCCTGGAAGCGAAAGCGGGGCAGGCAATGCACGCTCTGATCTCAGGCCGTCTCACGAGTCTCTTCGGGGCCTCCAGTGCCGCAAATGCCGTCTCGGAGGCCTCTCGGGGGCTGCCTGGGTCGTCCACGGGCCTCTTGGATGCTCTTCAGCGTCTCCGGAAGGCCTGGAGGCCCCTCGGGGGCCATGCTTCGGGGACGTTTTGTTGTTGAGGGGACGTGTCGCCGCGTGGGCGGCGATGCCGACCCAAGGCCGCGTGCTGGCAGGCCGCCGCGGGCGCCGTCGCTCTGAACCGAGGGAGCTCCCGAGGCCAGCACGCGAGCAGAGGCCGCGGAGGCTCGGCGGGGCGCGGCGCGGCGCGGCGCGGCGCGGCCCTCCGAGGCCCGCGCCGGGCTCGGCCGCGAGCGCGAAGCGCTGGCCGGAGGCCCACCTGGCCGCGGAGGGTGGGCGGCGGCGGAGAGCGCGTCGGGCGGCAGCGGCGTCGGCGGCGGCCTCGGCGGCGTCGGCGGCGCCGCCCCAGAGCGCTGGGGCAATGCGCGGCGCAGATCCACAGGGCATTCTGCGCGTCCCGGCGGCTCGCACACGCGAGCGGCCCCCACACAAAAGGAGCGGATGGGGGGGCGCCTCGGGCGCCACGCGGAGGGGAGGGTGGCGTCGACGCGGACAGCCAGGCGGCTGCGCGCAGGGCAAACTACTCGCGTGCCCCGGCTGCACGCGGCATCCCTTCCGCCCACCCTCAGCTCCATTCCTGCCTCCTCGTCTTACTCTCCTCCTACCCCTCCTCCCTCTCATCCCTCATTCCTCCCTCCTCCTCCCTCCTCCCTCCTCCTCCATCGCCTCCTCCTCCTCCTCCCATACCTCCATGTTCGTCCCTCCTCCTGCTCCTCCTTCTCATCATCACTATTCTGCCGAGGCCAGTCGAAAGGGCGGGCCGGGTGTTTCGCCTGAGACTTCCTCACCATATATGACCCTGAAGCTGAAAAAATGGCAACCGTTTCACAGATGGAGGGCGGGTGGTTTTCAAAATGTGGCTCTCGCCTTCGCGCCGCGCACATTCGTTTTAAACATGTGCAAGAATTTCACGGTGGGAGGGCAGGCCGTTCTAACAATGTGGCTCTCGCCTTAGCGCCGCGCACATTCGTTTTAAAATAATAACAGTTTCACTGATTCAGGGCGGTTCGTTTTCAAAAACAGACTCTCGCCTTAGCGCCGCGCAGATTCGTTTTAAGACTTCGCAATGAGTTTCACATATTCCCATGGTCAACGTACCAACAACTGCGCTTTGGAAGGATTCTGGATTGTGCATGTGCAACAGTTGCATTGGTTCGCGGAGTGGAAATCGAATGTTTTTCGGGTGCGATTCAGGATCGTCGAGACGCAACGGTCAGGTCGATCTGTGGCGTTAGTCCCGAGAATGGTGTTCTGGCATGCTTCAGGGTCTTCAAACGGTTGTCTCCCAACGAGGCAGTTCCCGCAATGGAAATGAACCCTTGTATGGGGCCTGTGAAGAGGGAGCTTGGGGGGAGGGTGTAATCCAACATCGTTGATGAGTCTTGGGTTTACACTGGTCCTCCTCCTCCTCCGCCTCCGCCTCCGCCTCCTCCTCCTCCTCCTTCTCCTCCTCCTCTTCTTCCTCCTCCTCGTACACGTATCCGTATTTCTCCTATTCCCTCATCCTCCTCCTCCTCCTCCTCCTCCTCCTCCTCCTCCTCGGCCTTCTCATTCTTCGCCTCCTCGGCCTCATCCTCCGCCTCATCTCCCCCCTCCCCCTCCCTCCAGCTGCGGGCACGCGCGCAGGAGGGCCTCGAGACCGCGGCGGGCAGCGCGTCCCCGCTGGGCCCCAGTTGCCTCTGGATGCCCCCAGATCCAGAAGATTTTGGGGGACCCCTGGGGAGGTGGTGGGATGACATAGGGGGGGAGAGATGGGGAAGAGAGGGAGAAAGAGAGAGGGAGAGAGAGAGAGAGGGAGAGAGAGGGAGAGAGAGAGAGAGAGAGAGACAGAGAGGAAGGAGAAATAAGTCGGGCAAGGGGGCGAGCGGGAGTGGGGACAGGTCCAGGAGGATGGGGCGGGGAGATGGAGAGCGGGAAGGGAAGGACAGGGAGACGACAGAGGGGTGATGATCACGGCATGGGAGGGGGAGCAGGAGGAATCAAAGGGGGCGGCAGCGAGCAACGGGAGGACGAGGAGCGGGGCAGGGCGAGCGCGAAGAGAGGGGAGAGGTGCGAGCAGGCCCGTGGCGCTCACGGCGCTCGGGTCGAGGCCCACTCGCACCGGGAGCCCTGGTGCTTTGGGCTCGGCATACCCAAGGGCTGCATGGGCACCTTCAGGAGGGCGTCTGACGCGGTCCCGGGGCGACCTTGGGGGCCTCGTGGGCCGTCTCAGAGCGTGGAGAAGCCGGACAGACAGAGATGCGAACCTCCGAAATCATGCGAAAACCGTCGGAGGCTCGTTCCTGGGGCTCTCGTGGGAGTGCTCATGGAGGCATGTTCGGGCGCCTTGGAGGCCTGCTGGGCCGTCAGGAATCTGGTCATCCTTCGGGTTGGCCGAATCCTTCCAGGTGACGGCCAGGAGGCCCGAGTACCCATCGGTCGGAAGAAGCGGGTAGAAGCATGCAGTAGAAGGCATTGAACGTGGATTGGGCTTCGGTCCGCCGCCTGAAGAGGAAGGACAAGGGAAAAACACTCGATGCTTAAAGTAGGAGGCGCCTAACGTAGATCAGAATTCTGCATTCCAGGAATTCCTCGCCTCGGCGACAGATGGGTGCTGCCCTGACTCCTCGTGGCCCCGAGGCGGGAGTTCCACGACGGATTCGTCGGGTCGGTGCTCGGGCGGCCCCGGTGGCACTCGGGGAACCAACTCCCTCGGAGCCAAGCGGTCGCTGTGACCCACGCGGCTGCGGAGAGGAACGGATAAGAAAGGCACAACACGCAGTGCAACGCGATGCGGGCAAACGCGGAGGGGGGAGGCAAGGAGACGAACTACGCTTCACATTCGTGAATCCGCGTTTTGGGGCACGGCGGACATCCGCCCGGCTGGTGCGGCACCAGGCCGGAAGCCGCGCGGGCAGTCACATCCTCTGCCGGGAGACGGCCCGCCGTGAACGCTGGCGGGCCACGAAAACTGGCGAGAAGGAGGAGGAGGAGGCAGACGCAGGAGGAGGAGGAGGAGGAGGAGGAAAAGGAGGAGGAGGAGGAGGAAAAGGAGGAGGAGGAGACGCGAGAGTGCACGCACAGACCCCACGACCAGGCATTCGCCAGCCTGCTCCGGGCACAGACCCCAGGCTCCCAAGCCAGGCGGGGAGGCCCATCGGTTGGCCTTTCTGAAGCGTGCACCGTCGCTCTCAGAGAAAAGCACGCGACCTCTGTGCGCGCTATGCCCCTGCCAAGGCTGACAGTCGGGGCGTAGGCTTAAGGGGCCCTAAATAAGGAACGATGCCCCTTTTTTCCTACCCGTTCAACGTCGATATCCCCTCGAAAACCTACGGCGAGCTATAAAACAACTAAGGAACACTGAGCCCCTTCCAAACGAAAGAGGTTCCTTTTTCAGCGCCGCGCCTGTACTCGGTGCACGCTATCTCCAGGGTGGGGGAGAGCGTGGAATAAGCGGTCCGGCGGCGCCACATCGCAAGCTACCTTGCTAACACCATCCCTATGCACCGAGGTCTGGTCCAGATTGGGCCTCTCTTCTGGCCTGGTCCTGCACACACTCCTGCCCTGGACATCCGGCGCAAGCAGACCAGCGCTCTGCGGTGGGCACAGCTTTCCCGAAAGCGTGCTTCTTCCAGGACGTCGGACACCCCGCAGAGCTTTCGACCTCACTCGGAACCACGTGTTCGTCACGAACGATTTTTGAGTGTGACGGAACCCGAAAAATGGGTCTCTGCGACCAATTGCTGACCCTACCAATACAGGTCCACTCGACGCTGGGGTATCGGACACCCCCGCTGGGGCTCACCTGGCTGCAGACGTCCTTCGAATTCTGAGCCCCAGCCAGCGTTTCAGAATTCTGACCTGCAGGGGTACCCGTCGGTCGAAAGAATTGGGTAGAAGCAGGAAGTAGGAAGGCGATGAAAGTAGATTGGACTTCCGCCCGCCCCCTGAAGAGGAAGGAGGGGGGAACCACTCGATCATTGAAGTGGGAGAGCGCCTAACGTAAATTGGGATCTCTGGGAATCCAGAAAGCACTTCCTTTCAACGACCGACGGGTAGAGTTTGCGTGTGATTGCCGACCGTCGCGGTGTTGACGACCCGTTCCCTCTCTTTCGCTCAGCATCGGTCCCTGGGCCCCTCCTGGACTAGAGGGCGAAGATCCACCCCCGTAGTAATCGCCTCGGCAAGCGAAGCCGTGGAGTACACGCACCCAAGGAAGGAATCGAATAGGGCAAGGCTTCTTCGTAAACGCCCAGGGCCGTTTCATAAACGACAACTGTCGATTCTGGGTTGATTTTCCTCCCTTGATGGACGCCGCGCCAGCCAGTTCTCCGAGAATGAAGGGGCCCTGGGACACACATATAAATACACACAAATAAACTGATTCTCCATATTTTCCCATATTTTCTGGATTTCTGTCTTCCCCCCCAATTCCCATATTTTCTCATATTTTCTAATGAATCGAGGATTAATTGTGTATGTGTTTTTTCTCCTCCTGAGAGAAGCCTCCGGGGGCGGCAACGTGCATCCCCCCTCGAAGCCCCACCAAACCCACAAAAACTTCGGAGCCCTGAAGCCCCCTCGAAGCCGCTGGCGGCACTGCAGGAGCACCGTTGAGCCGATCCCCATACCCACTGGCGTGGCCTTGGCCCCACTTGCCGATCTACCCCCCAAGGGGAGGATGTGGGCTGTCTCCTTCAGATCTCCAGGGGCATATACTTACCAGCCTCGAACGTATCCCTATCCCTAAGATTGATACGCCAAAAGGCGATGACAATCTTAGGGATTCGCCCTCAAAAAATAAGGGAATCCCTAAGATTGGCATCGTGATGAGGAGGTGCCCAACATAGGGATAGGGATAGGTTCCAGGCTGGTAATATACCCAACACTGGGGGGCATGACAGCTGGGCTGTGATGCCTTGGCGCGGTGGGGCGGGGGGTTGGAGGCAGCCGGGGGGGGTCTGAACTGGTTGGGGCCCCCAGAAATCCTGACCTTCCAGGAGGGCTGAAAAATAGCACCAGGACCTCGACATCTTACTTCCTGCAGAGGTCTTAGGCAGCCCAGATAGGTCTATCGGTCTGGAGGGCTGTTTTTTAGCACTCTGGAAGGTCAGGGAAAATCGGTCGGGAGGGTGGGATGATACCAAAGCCGCTCGAGATCGATCCCCCAAACCCATCCCGGGGTCCATCTGGTGCAACTGTCCGCCCCGGACCCGCGCGGGACGGCGCCGGGGCCGGCCACCAAAAACCTCCCCGCCCACAGCCTCGCACCCGCCCGCCCTTCCTGGTCGAAGCCAGTGCTGGGCCACCTCTGACCCCCCGCTAGCTCCAAGGGGAAACCACACTTGCCGCCGCTCGGACGTCCATTTCCTGTGCACTTGTCGGTTTCGTGCGCGTTTCTTTTGCTCGATGGTCCAAGGGACGGTCCTCGCTGGTTCTCGCCGAGAAAACATGCGCACGTCCGAGCGATGCCAAGAACACTGACGCTGCGGGGCGGCTCGCGCGGGGGAGGCAGCCACATCGCCCTGTCCGCCAGCGGCTCTGCGCGGGCGGCATCCAGCTGCGCCGCCGCGGGCCGGATGAGGCCGTGCTCCGCCTCGGTGATGACGCGGTACGCCTGGGCGAGGCGACGACGACGGCGGCGGCAAGGGCGACAAAGATTACCAGCCTGGAACATATCCCTATACCTATGTTGGGCATCGCCTCATCACGATGGTGATCTTAGGGATTTCCTCAGTTCCTGGGGTTGTATCCCTAAGATTGTCATCTCCTTTTAGCGTGTCATTCTTAGGGATAGGGACAGGCTCGAGGCTGGCGAAAGGACCCCTCTCGGCGCTGGTCTGAGCCAGCTGCGCTTGCAAAGCGCGCGGATCGGCCCTCGAAGACTCCGAGGGGACGAGTCCACCGCTGGAAGGCTCGGGGCGTTACCTCGCGAGGGGCGGAGAAGCAGAGGTGGAGATAGGGAGAGGGGCAAAAAGAGATGTCGAGGGGGAGAGGGACTGGCCATCGCTCGGACGCCCATGCCCCGTGCAGGCTTCGATGTCGTGTGCGTTTATGTTCTCGCAGGATGACCGGAGGACGATCCTCGAGGGTCCTCTCGCCGGGAAGAATGCAGACGAGCGAGCGATGCCAAGGGGAGAGAGGTGAGCGTTCTCTCATTCGGCGTTTCGACATTGGGCGGAGGGGGGGGGAAAAGGGGGGGGGGGAATCTGGCTCCGGACCTCTGCTTAGTGCGACTGTTTCCAGCGGTGTGCCCTATGGGGGAGACCCCACCTGCTCAAAGCATGCGTCACAAAACCGGCCAAGATCTACTCCAGATCGGAGGAGGGGAGTGGGGGGGTGCGAGGGCCCGCGCCGATCGGCAAAACAGTGAAACACAAAAACGATCGCGAGGGAGAGGGGCGAGAAGGGGATTGCCGTTTCTGGCTGTCCTTGGGGCCTCCCAGGACCCTGGCCCTCGCCGGCACGGCCGGGTCCAACTCGAGGACCCGCCCAAAGCGCGCTCCGTCAGCGGCCCGGGGCGGAGCAGCTGACCAAGCTGTCCCCTCACGGTTGTTTTTGGGATTCCTCTCTGGTCGGCCACCCTCCCCAATCGGCATCCCCCCTTCCATCCGCAGCCTCACCCTTAGGAGGATGAGGCGGAACGGGGAGGGAGAGGAGGAGGGAAGAGGGAAGAGGCTGAGGCAGGAAGGAGGGACGGAGGGAGAGGCAAGGGCTGCCATGAAATTGCTGAGTTGCTCAGCGCTGCAGTTCGCACAAAGTCTTGACAGTGCAGAATTGCGCGCAGAATGTCCTATCGTAGCCCTGGCTCAAATTCCTTTTTTTCTGATCAGATCTGCCCTAAACGAGCGACAGCCCTTCCGAGGCGATGCCGCGCATGAGGGAGAACGATGGAGGACGGACTGGGCAGGGTGGCTAGGGAACTTGGGCATGCTGGGGAAAGTGGTGGTGGGGGGCCTGTTGGATGGATCTCACATGGCCTGATGGCCCGCACGAGACTCTCGGACATGCCCTTCTCCCCACCCTCCCCCGCTTCCTCCATCTCCTCCCCACGTCCCTCCCTGTCACCCCACTCCACCTCCACCACCTCCCCCTCCGCCCCCTCCTCCACCTCGACTCCCGCCTCCACCTCATGCGCCTGCTCCTGCCCCTCCGCCTGCTGTCCCCTCCACACTCTCATCGTCGCAGCTCCTCCTCCTCTCGCCCACGGCCCTCGGGCCTCCGGCTTGCCCTCGAGCCCGTCGCGCTCGGACTTCCATGCGCAGTACGCCTTGGCCTCATGGTAGTTGACGTCGACGGGCCAGTCCCACTGCATGTCCTGTCAAGGTCGCTGACAAGAGGGCGGGCCACGGGAGTGGCGCCGCGGCGCCAGTGGGGTGGAGGAGGAATGTGGGAGAGGGCCGCTGTAAAGGATCGGAGGAAAGACGGACGGAGGGAAAGATACGAGTGTGGTAGCAAGGTAATTGTGCGGATAGCAGACGCTATCTCGACACCGAAATTCGTGAATTGCCGGTGCGCCCTGAATTCGGGGAGGCGCAGTTGCTGTCGGGAGGCCCCGCAGCAAGGCGCGGTGACGCGCTCAGTCTGCTAGGGCCCAAACCTCAGTGCAAAACATGTTCCCCGATTATGATACTACAGTGCTGGCGCGGCCGCAAGAAGCCCTCGCGAGAAACCCAACCCTGAGAACCCGCGCGCGAGGTGCACCTGAGGGGAAACCGGGCGCACCCTGAACGCAGCAGCTCCTTCAATGGCTGCGGGAAGTCACCGCGCAGCGCGAGGAGCGAAGAAACCCAGGATACCCTGACGAAAAGCATATGGTTTCTTGATGCGCGACCCCACTGTAAAAAGAACTACTGATCAAAGAACTACGCTCGACCAACACCCGGCCAACCCGTGCAGGCAAGGAAAAATGCACGCCAGAAGCGAGACGGCACGCTCGGACTGAAATTTTCCCGGCAGCAGCGCTGGCAGCGGAAGGATCGCGGAGGTGCAAGGCTTCCTCTGCAATCAATAAGCTCGGCCAACCCCCCAAACCTGAAGGGGCTCAGGGACACGCAAATAAATATTTCTTTCTCCTGTGAGTCGGCGATTAATTGTGTCTGTGTGTTTCTTTCCCTCCTGAAAACCAGCCCCCAAGAAACCGGTCAACCCTCCCAGCCAACCCGCTCCAGCCGACACTGGCTAGCCTTTTGAGATAGAGGATGTCGTTACAGGCTCACGCCTTTGGTGCTGTGGACCACGTGGCCAGCAGAGTCGCGGAGGCAAAACAAAAAAACGAGCCCTGAGATTCGGCCACGTCCGCAGGATCGGCCCGCAGAGTCTCGACGGGAATCAGATTGCTATCGCTCAGACGTCCGTTCCCGTGCATGAGTTGGTTTCGTGTGCGTTTTCTCCGAGATGATCCGAGGTACTCCAAGATGATCAAGAATCTCGCCGAATAAATGCACACGTCCGAGCAATGCCAAGCCAGGGAGGGCTCCAGCCGAGAACCGCGAGACTCCGTTCACCACGCCGGACCAGCATGATGAACGGGGGGAGCAGCAGGGTAGCGCCCCCTCGTGCATCTCGCCGTCATCTCTCGTCGCGCTCCCTGCCCCCTCCCTCCCCCCGACCTCCCCTCCCCTCCCCTCCCCTCCTCCCTCCTCCCTCCCACAGGTCGTAGCCCCTTTGGCTCAGGCCGCACAACAGCTTTCTACGGCCCCAGTGCTCAAACCGGCACGGTGACGCCAGCTGCACGCAGCAGATGTCGTACTTGGGAACCCCCAAACCGGGTGGTGAGATACCAGGTGGCGACCTGGAATCCCCCAAAAGGTCACCGCTGGGTTTGGGGACGCGGGGTCACCACCGGGTTTTGTGACTCCTGAACCCACCAGTGTCCGGGACATCCTCGGAAAACCGCACGAGTCCCCAAACCGGGTGGTGACACCAAGTCGCCCGAGACTCACCGCCAGGTGTTGTCACCACCACGTTTGGGGACCACCAACGTACCCCCACCTGCCCTATCCCCCCCCGTTCGTCCGACACGACCCTCGACCTGCACCCCCGCCTCAGACAGTGCCCTGACCCGTCCGGGGGCGCGGCACGCTCGACACAGAGTTCCGAGACAAACCTGGGAGCTTTAGCAACACAAAAGGTGCAGGCGCATCCTCCTCGTTGGGCCTCGATCCGCCTCCTCCTGCCCCACCCTCTGGCCCTCCCGCGTCGGGACGCTCGACACAGCATTCCGAGACAAGCCTGGGAGCTTTAGCAACACAAAGGTGCAGGCGCATCCTCCTCGTTGGGCCTCGATCCGCCTCCTCTCAAGGGGCCCAAGGACACACAAATAAATACACACAAATAAAATGATTCCCCATACTTGTCCATATTTTGTGGGATTTGGTCTTCCCGCCCAATTCCCATATTTTCCCATATTTTCCTGGGAGTCGACGATTAATTGTGTCTGTGTGTTTTTTTGCCTCCTGATCCTCCTGCCCCACCCTCTGGCCCTCCCGCGTCGGGCGAGCGACGCCCGGGCCTGTATCTCGAAGATGGTGCGGAGCTTGAAGCGCATCGAGCCCTGCGGGGCAGGGCGCCGCGGTCGCCCTGCCCCCAGGGGAGACCGGGACGGGGGGAGCAGCTGCGGGGCTTGAGCGCAGGGAGGATTGAGGACAGAGGCTCTCGACCGGCGACTCCGCAGGGTGCAATCTGCGAGGGGTGCGGTTTGCAACCGGCACCCCCTGGGGGGCGGGCGAGGACCTCGACGCAGCTCTGCGCCATCATCTTCCCGAGGAGGCCCGACGAGGGCAGCGTGGCGCCCCCCCCAAACCCCACAGACCCAAATCGCGAACCACACCCTGGCGTAACTGGACCCTGTGTGACAGCCAGGTCCACATGAACACTACACGTCGGACTGGCCCTGTGTTGAGCAGGGACCGACCGTCCCAGAATTCCTACAGTCATACCACGAAATGTTCTTAGAACCCAAAAATGTTCTAAGAACAAAAAACAATGTTCTTAGAACATAAGCCCGATGTGTTAAAACAAGACAATCCCAACCAGAAATATTCTAAGAACATTTCGTGGGAACCACAAAAGGTTCTTAGAACATTGTTTGGTGGGGCTTTAGGCACGCCAGGACGCTTCGCCATTGCTTGACTGTGTCGTGGGATCGACCGGTAGGGGGCCCTGGGCCGCTGCAGCTCGGGATGCCTGGACGGCTGTGGCTGTGGCCGTGGCCACCTCTGCGGCCCCTCGCGCCCCTGGCCATGCACCGTGGGGTCGGCCACGGGCGCGCGAATCGCCAGGGCCCCGGCTGCTCAGACCGCGACGACCTCCACACACAGGGGCATGTGCCTCCTGGACGGCGCCCGAGCATAGGTGGGGCCGGACAATCGGGCCGCATCGGCGCTGCATCTGCGATGCGCCCCGTCGACGTTGGCGATGCATGGGGAGAGGCCGGCGTGGAGAACATCAGTGCCCACACCGAGCTGCATCGGCGAGGCATCGGCGATGTGGCGCGATCTTCCGACGTCGGGTCGGGCGAAAGGAGGGGATAGCAAGGGGGGTTTGAGAATCAACTCGCGTAGCTGACTTTCCCGGCGCCTCCCGGCGCCGGAGGCGGCTATGCATCGAGGAATGGGCCCCTCGGTGAGGCCGAAACCAGCTGCACGCAGCAAATTTCGTAACCCCCCCTTTCCCAATCCACCCCTTTCGTCCGGCCCGAACCTGGGAGGCCTATAAAAGGATGGATCCGCACTTTTAGGCGTTGCGGCCCCGCGCAGCGGCGGCGCGGCGTGGGCAGCCAGGCGGGCGGGCACGCGCCGCCGGGCCTAACGTCACGCGGCGCGGGGACAGGGGAGGCGCCGACAAGGGGATCCACGGGGTCACTCGCGGTGGGCCGCGAGGGGGAGGGGGCAGGGGAAGAAGGGGCAGAGGGGGGCAGTGGCGGCAAGCGGAGGTGCGCAGTACGAGACGCAAGAGGGGCGCAGCCTGCATGTGCAAGGGCACTCCGACTGGGGGGGAGAACAGCAGGCAGACAGCCCGACCAGGGCAGGCGGTGGGATGAAACAGGCGCCGCAGAGGCGACGGGACCCCGCGGCAAGGCAGCGGAGCAGCGCAGCCGCGGCAGAGAGGAGGGTGCATTCAGGCACAGATGGAGTGTTGCCAAACAGGCGTCCCCAGGATGCCTGGGCTGGCCCAGATGGCCTCCAGAGCACCCCTCACGAGACTGGCAGGACCCCGGGGGCTTCAGAGTGGCGCAAAGGTGAGAACACCCTGGGTCAGGACCACTTCTAGCAACCCCCGAACTCAGGGGTCCTCACACGTAGGGTTCCGAAGACGTGTCGTTCCGCACTCCTCCCTTCTCCCTTCCTTCTGCTCTGTGGAAAACGGCTGATCCACCTCTGGGCCGTCGGTCTCCCAGAAGAATGGCCACTTCATGTTCCTGGCGGGCGCAGCCATCCGGGGAGCAGAAATGGGAGCAAAGGAAGGGTAAGAGGAGGGAGAGGAGGACGATGACGAGGGCAAGAAAGACAAGGAGGATGAGGAGCAACACCCCCACCACTGTGCCAACGACAGACCGTGAGGGGGATCCGTGGCGTGACCCCAAGTTGAGGATGAAAGGGCAAGCAAGTCACGACAGAGAGGACAAGAAGTGCGCACGGAGAGGCGGACTGGCAGACCCACCCACAGTCCCACCTGAACGCCTGTGCGCCCCGAGGGGCTGCAACGGCAGGGGGCTAGGTGACACTTCCCTATGCGCGTATCCGAATCCTCCCTTGGCGACTTGGGCTTCCCTCGAGGGCGAACCGATGTCATAGTGTGGTTCTGGTTCCGGCGCCGCGCACGTTCGCTTGAAAATGTGTACAAGAATTTCACGGATGGAATGCGGGTGGTTTTCAGAATGTGGCCCTCGCATCAGCATTGCACACCTTCGTCCTCAAACACTGCAGGAGCTTCGAGAGTGGAGGGCGGGCCGTTTTCAGTCTGTGGTCTTCGCCATGGCGCCGCGTACACTCGTCTCGAAGGCTTGCAAGCACCTCGCGGATGTGAGGGCGGGTCGTGTTCGGAGTGCGGCTCTCGTCTTAGCGCCGATCACATGCGCCTTAGACATATGCAAGAACTTCACGGGTGTAGGGCGGGTCGTTTTCAAACTGTGGTTCCCACCTTATCGCCGCGCACAAGTACTGCAAGATCCCACCGTACGTGTATGTGTTTTCATGGTTAACCTCAGTCAGCCTTTTCAGCACCCAGAAGAATTGGAGGTAACTCATGAAATTTCGGCTGCTTTATTCACGGACTGTTGCCCCTCCAAGAAGTCAAACAAATGATTATTCCCCACGGCACCCTCCGCGCAACAACGGCGCCGACAACTACGACGACGATTGCTACTACGACTGCGACGTCTACTAGAACTTATGCCTCAAGAGCGCTCTCACCGAAAATCCGACTTCAGAAATTGGATTCTCAGAAACCCGATTCTCATAACTCCAGCCAAAAGAAGACGTTTGAAGCCCAGGCCCCATGAGGGCCTTCAGAAACTTCAGCCTCAGAAAGGCCATCCCCAGAACGATTACGAGCAACGCCTTCAGCGAATAGTGTGTCGATCGATGTTGCAATCCTCTTAGAAACATGTTCAACATCACTGTGGCGAAATGCAGCCCAAGGGGCACTATTCCTGGTGAGCAAGAACCCCCAAACGTTACCAAGCCCGCCGAACAGTAGAGGGAACATAATCTCCGCCGCGACGACGACGACGCCCACACCTACGACAAATATTACGATGATGACTGCGACTACAACAGCGATAACGAGTACGACTAGACTTGCAAAAATACGCTCCGAATCACAATGCAACCACGACTACACTCACGAGAACAAGCGCAATCACATATTCCGATTGCCATCCTCATGAGAAGATGCGCACACAACATCTCGCGTGTAGGTACCCCACGACTGATAACTCCCTTGGAGGAAGGTACACCCACCATGTTGCAAACCGCACAATAATGGAAAGAGAACTATCTCCGTCGCGGCGACAACATCGGCAACGACAGCGACCACGACTACTACGACCGCCGTAGAGGCGGTACAGGTAGTAATCGTAGTAGTAACGGTCGAAAAAAGTAACCATGGCAGTAAAGTAGCAGTAGATGCAGTAGTAGTCGTAGAAGTAGTGGTAGTAGTAGTAGTAGTAGTAGTAGTAGTAGTAATAATAGTAGTAGCAGCAGTAGTAGTAGTAGCAGTCGTGGTAGTAGCCGGAGTAGTAGTAGTGGTGGTAGTAGTACTAGTAGTAGCAAACGTCGTAGTAGTAGTAGTAGTAGCAGCAGCAGCAGCAGCAGCAGCAGCAGGAGTAGTAGTAGTAGTAGTAGTAGTAGTAGTAGTAGTGGTAGTAGTGGTAGTAGTGGTAGTAGTAGTAGTAGTAGTAGGAGTAGGAGTAGTCGTAGTAGTAGTAGTAGTAGTAGTAGTAGTAGCAGTAGTAGTAGTTGTACTAGTATTAGTAAGTAGTAGTAGTAGTAGTAGTAGTAGTAGTAGTAGTAGTAGTAGTAGTAGTAGTAAGTAGTAGTAGTAGTAGTAGTAGTAGTAGTAGTAGTAGTAGTAGTAGTAGTAGTAGTAGTAGTAATGGTAGTAGTAGTAGTAGTAGTAGTAGTAGTAGTAGTAGTAGTAGTAGTAGTAGTAGTGGTAGTAGTAGTAGTAGTAGTAGTAGTAGTAGTGGTGGTGGTAGTAGTAGTCGTAGTACAAGTAGTAGTAGTAGTAGTAGTAGTAGTAGCAGCAGAAGTAGCAGTCGTAATAGTAAACCTGCAACGGTACTAGTCGTAGCCGTAGTCGTAGTGGCCGTTGTAATAGTAGTGGCCGCCGTCGTTTTCGCAGGACCAGAAGTAGTAGTACCAGTAGCAGTGATAGTAGTCGTAGTAATAGAAGTAGTCGTCGTCGCCGTCGTAGTAGTAGTGGTGATGATAGTAGTGGTAATGGTATGAAAGCTAAACATAGCGATAGTAGTAGTCAGAGTAGTAGCTATAGTCATAGGACAGGTAGTAGCACTAGTAGTAGCAGTACGATTAGTCGTGGTAGCACCAGCCATAGCAACAGTCATAGTACTGATGTTAAAAGCAGTAGTCGTCATAGTAATAGAAATAATCGTCGCCGTCATATTAGTAGCAGCCGCAGTCCCAATCGTAGTCGTAGTCGCATTCGCCATAGAGAGTAATTGTCGTAGCAGTAGGTGACGGAGCAGAAGTAGTCGCAGAGGTAGTCGCAGTGGTATTCGTAGTCGTAGTAGCAGTCGTACTAGCAATATTAGTAGTAGTAATAGTAGAAGCAGTAGCAGTAGTAGCATCGTAGTCGTAGTAGTGATAGTAGCAGTAGTAGTAGTAGTAGTAGTAGTAGTAGTAGTAGTAATAATAGTCGTAGTAGTAGTAGTAGTAGTAGTAGTAGTAGTAGTAGTAGTAGTAGTAGTAGTGGTGGTAGTTGCAGTGGTCTTAGACGCAGCCGTAGCCGCAGTCGCATTCGCAATAGTAAAAGCAATGGTAGTAGTAGTAGTAGTAGTAGTAGTAGTAGCAGTAGTAGTAGTAGTAGTAGTAGTAGCAGCAGCAGCAGCAGGAGTAGTAGTAGTAGTAGTAGTAGAAGTCGTAAAAATAGAGGTAGTGGTGGCAGTGGTGGTCGCAATCGCAGGTGTAGTTCTAGTAATGCACATACCCATCGCCGTAGTAGCCGTCACTACCCTACTCCTCCCCCTCCTCCTCTGCCTCCTCATCCCCCTACTGCCGCATCTAATGGACGAGGTTTGTTTAAGTGCAAAACAAATACCATCACTTAAAAAAAGGTTTGCAGCAGTTGTAGAAGCCGTAGGAATCGAGCAGCAGCAACCGCTGGAGTGGTGTAAGATTAGCACCAATAATGGCAGTAACAGTGGCAGTCGCAGGAATAGTGCTACCAGCGGTAGTAGTAGTAGTAGCAGCAGCAGCAGCAGCAGTAGTAGTACTAGTAGTAGTAGTAGTAGTAGTAGTGGCAGTAATAGTAGTAGTGGTAGTGGTAGTAGTACTCGTAATACAAATGGTAAGACAGTCGTAGTAGGCGCAGTAGTCGTCGCCGTAGTAGCTGTAGTCGTAGTAACAGTATTCAGTGTACTCGTAAGGATAATATTAATAAAGGTAGTAGTGGTAGTAGTGGTAGTAATAGTTGTGAAACTAGTAGTAGTAGCAGTAGTAGTAGTAGTAGTACTAGTAGTGGTCGTAGTAGTAGCAGTAGTAGTAGTAGAACTAGTAGTAGTAGTAGTAAAAGTAGTAGTAGTAGTAGTAGTGGTGGCATACGTAGTAGTAGTAGTAGTAGTAATAGAAGTAATAGTAAGAGTAGCACTCCTAATAAGAGTAAGAGTAGCAGACGTGACCGTAGTGGTAGTATTCGTGACCGTAACAGTAGTAGTATCAGTAGCACTCGTAGTAGTACGGGTAGTCGTAGTAGTAGTAGTAGTAGTAGTAGTAGTACTAGTAGTAGTAGTAATAGTACGATCACTGATAATAGTCGCAGCAATACAAGTCGTAGTGGTTAATAGAAAATGATCGTAGTAGTCGTCGTAGCCGTAGCAAGCGCAACAGTCGTAGTAAAGTCGTAGTAGTAGTTTCGTAATAGTGATAATGGTAGCCGTCAAAATTGTATCCGGCGATATATTTTTTGTTTTTTTTTATAAAAAAAAAAAACATCGTTGTAGCAGTAGTAGTAGAAGTCGTAGCCGTCGTAGTAGTAGTTGTTGTTGCTGTAGTAGTAATAGTAGGAGTAGTAGTAGTAGTAGTAGTAGTCGTAGAAGTAGTAGTAGTAGTAGTAGTAGTAGTAGTAGTAGTAGTAGTAGTAGTAGTAGTAGTAGTAGTAGTAGTGGTAGTGGTAGTGGTCGTACTACTAGTGGTGGTACGCGTGGTAGGATCAGCGGTACTAGTAGTAGTCGTAGTCGTACTTGTAGTAGTGATAGGAGTGGTTGCAGTAGTAGTAGTCGTGATAAAAGTAATAGTACTAGTCGTGGTAGAAATAATAGTAGTAGCCGCAGTAGTAGCAGTAGTAGTAGTAGCTGTAGTAGTAGTGGCAGTAGTCATGGTAGTACTCGTGGTAGTAGTAGTAGTAGTAGTAGTAGTAGTAGTAGTAGTAGTGCTAGTGGCAGTAGTAGTAGTAGTAGTAGTAGTAGTAGTAGTAGTGGTGCTAGTAGTAGTCATAGTAGTAGTAGTAGTAGCAGTAGTAATGATAGTCGTAGTACTGGTAGTAGTAGTAGTAGTAGTAGTAGTAGTAGTGGTGGTAGTACAAGTACAATACTAATACTACGACTAATAGTATTAAAAAAACCGTGGTATAAATAAGAATGAAAGAAGTTGTAGTAGCCGTAGTAGTCGTAGAAGTAGTAGTAGTGGTACTCGTAGTCGTAGCGGTAGTAGTAATCATCGTCGTAATAGTACTAGTAGTCGTCGTCGTAGTAGTAGCAGTAGTAATCGTGGTAAAGATGGTAACAGTAGCATGAATATTCGTAGTAGTGGTGGAGGAGAGGGAGGAGGAGGAGGAGGAGGAGGAGGACGAGGAGGTTTTAGGACCATAACTTTTCACCGCCGAGTGAAAACGGGAGGGGGGGACCGAAACTACAAACTGACTGAAGTTCACCTCCCAGTACCGGTGTTTAGGCACGTCGTCGGACTGTCAGGGCGCAACAGTCACATTGATTTGCGGTGTTGAAGTCCCAGGAATGGTTTTCTGTTACGGTTCTGGATCGTCAAGATACAACAGTAACGGTGACTCGCGGCGTTGAAATCTGAAGAATGATGTTCTGGCACATGTCAAGACTTTCAGGCGGTTGCCTTGCAACGGGGCAGTTCCCTTGTGGGGACAATGAAAATGAACCCTTGTAGGAGCCAATGAAAATGCATCTTGGAGGAAAGGTTGATTACAATATTGTTGATGGATCTTGGGTTTACACCACCGTTTACACTGGTCCTCCTCCTCCTTCTCCTCGTCCTCGTCGTCCTCCTCCTACTCCCCCTCCTCCTCCTCCTCCTCTTCCTCCTCTCCCTCCCCAACCCTCCAACGACTTTCTCTCGTCGCCAGCCCCTCGAGCCCTTCATCCACACAAGGACTGGGCTTTCAGCCCGAGCAACTGCTTCACACACCTATGGGGCACAAAGGCGGCCCACGGAGGCCGGAACGGAAAGACATCATTGGAGTCGCCGGACGTTTGACGACAGAATCTGAACCTTTGTATGCTGATGCTCGCGAACATCCAACGCGCCCACAACTTAGAAGCGGTGGGCTGCGCCGCGATGTGTCGATCCGTCGACTGGTCAAAACCCTGCGCCCCGCTTGCGATGCCAACCAACATTGAACCGGAGGCAAGGGGGCGAGTTGAAGTGTGCGACGGCACGCCAGTCACATGGGCGGTGCAGGATTTTGTCCGTCAGCCGAGGTTTCCGCTCCTCTCCCCCATGGTTTTTTCCGCCCACCCACCCTACCCAACTTTCGGTGGCAACTTGCGAATCCACGGTAATCGACGCGAGCCAACGCTAAGTCGACGCTAAAGACGCTGATAGAAGCTAACCGACGCTGAATCGGGGCTACAGTGCGGGCGCGGCTGCAAGCAGCCCTCGCAAGAAACCCAAACCTGAAAAAACGCGCGCGAAGTGCACTTAAAGGGAAACCCGGGGCACCCTGAACGCAGCAGCTTCTTTGACGGCCGCGGAAGTTAACGCGCAGCGCGCGGAGCGAAGAAGCCCAAGGTACCCTGACAGGCGCGCACGGTTTCTTGACGCGCGCCCCCTCTGTATCTCATCGACTACCAGACGTGGACCGACGCGAATACGATCGAGAAACGGACTTGCGAAGACGAGCAACGTTCCCATGAGCTGCAACCGAATTCTCGCACTGCTCTTCTCCACCCATATACCCTCCCCTCCTCTCCTCCAACTTGCCGTCGCTCGGACGTCCATTGTCCGTGCATGTTTCGGTTTCGTGCGTGTTTTTGTTGCTCGATGGTCCAGGATGGTCCTCGATGGTTGTCGCCGAGAAAACATGCACACGTCCGAGCGATGCCAAGCCAGTGGCACGCCCTGCCCACGCAGCGGGGGGGCTCCTGTACTTGCGCCAGCCCCAGCCGTCCTCGGACCAGTACCGCTGCGTGCGGTACCCGCCTCGCCCCGACGGGCCGACGGGAGCGGCGCGGAGGAGGCCAGCGGCACCCGAGGGAACGACGAGAAGAAACAGATCTTACAGGGCAGCTTTTAATACATGGGGTTTTGTTTTTCATTAAAGGACTTTTAATACATGCGTAGTTTATGAATACGTGTATGCAGGAACTAATCGTTGTTTTTAGTACTACTTCCCTGCATGTTCCATTCATGATCCGCACGCAGATCTTACAGGGCAGTTTGTAATGCATAGGGATTTAAACATATAGGATGTTTAATACATGCTCAGTTTCTGCATACGTGTATGCAGGAACGCATCGTTGCTTTTCGTACTAATCCCCTGCATGTTTCATACATGACCCGCACGCGGAGCATGTATTAAAAACGGCACCTTGGCATCGCTCGGACGTGCATTCCCTGTGTTAATGTTTCGGTCTCGTGCGTGGCTTTTTCTCGCCACATGATCAAGGATGCTCCTCGATGGCCCTCGCAACAGGAAAAATGCCCACGCCCGAGCGATGCCAAGGCACGGCGCGCGAGATGGCACCATAGCGACCCGACGCAACAGGCCCTTCGCGGGCCGCCAGCGCGGCACTGGCACACCGGAGGGCACGGCGCGCGTCCGCGCGGCCTTCGCGCGGCAGGCCTGCGCACGGGTGCCGGGCGCAAAAGGAGCCCGTCGTTGCCAGCAGCACGGGCGGGCTTCTGCCTGCTGGCGCAAAAGGAGCCCGTCATTGCCAGCAGCACGGGCGGGCTTCTGCCTGCTGGCGTGGTCTTCCTCGGTGGTGCGACGATTCCCCCCGCCTCCCTCCCCCCTCACATATCCGAACGGCCTCGTCGACTCTCGCTGAGAGCATCGCGCTCTACCCGGCGCAATAAGACGATACAGAGTGCTGCCGTCAGGCAGCGGGAGTAGCAGGAGGGGGGTAGAAGCGGGGAATAATTTACCCAAACGCTGCTTTTATTATGACAATCGAACGCCGTCCTTACTCTGGTCTCCTGGCCCAAGGCTTTTGGCGGACGGACCCTTCACGAAATCATGCGGCATTGCTACACAGTTCCGCTAAGTACATGTCCGAGTAGATTCTGCTTAGCGCGCGTTCAGAAAGAGCGGCGCGCGCACCCTTTTTACGCCAAGACGCACGCAGACTCCTGTCCTCGCGCGAGTCTCGAGCGAGACGCGCGCGCAAGTGCGCACATGCTCGCCTCAAAAAAACACGCCACGGGAGCGGCGTTGACGACACCCTCCGTGGCAGGCTCCGAAACTTCCATAACGTGCGCGTACCAGCCTGCAGCGCACCTCGCCAGGGCGCGCGATCCCGAAACATGGATCACGGCGCAGACCGCCCGAGTAGTACCTCACCCTGCTCAAGAAGCAAGGGCTCGGCTGCCCGACGGAGCCTGATCCTTTCGTCGACAGGCCCTTGGGGCGCCCGGGGCCATTCGCTCAGCAGGCGTCGTCCTTCCCCGGAGCCCACCTTCCACCTCGTTCCACTGGACCTCCGTGCCGGCCGCCACCCCGGCCCGGGGTGTTCCATGGATCGCTGTCCACAATCCGCGCCCTGGCTTTGTCTCGGCCGCCGTCGTCGCGGTCTTCGCCGCGGTCTGCCCCTAGGCCGCCCGCCCCGCCTGCCGCGGATGCAGGCCACGCCCGTACCCATACCAATACCCATATCCTTGTTCCTTATTATTATAGACCCCCACCTACCTCGTATTCCGGCCGATAGCAACCCAATCCGGGACCTCCATCCGGACTTTAAAAAATCAATACAATGTGGCCGTTTTTCTTCTCAACATCGTCATTCTTGTCGTCGACAATGCGAAAAGCGTGGCAGGAATGGGACGCGGCGCACATCGCGCGCGGCAGACAATCTGGGCCCGCCCACCCTGACTGTAAACTATACGAAGTCTTCGTTTTTCCTCTCAGCATGGCCTGCCTTGTCGCCGACGGAGCGAAATGTGTTGCAAGGATTGGGACGCGGCACACATCGCGCGCGGACGTCCATGCGGGCTGCGGGCCCTCCCATCCTGACGAATGTTTCTAGTACCATTGGTACGACGACTACTACTGCTACTACTACTATTACTACTACTACTACTACTACTACTACTACTACTACTACTACTACTACTACTACTACTACTACTACTACTACTACTACTACTACTACTACTACTACTACTACTACTACTACTACTACTACTACTACTACTACTACTACTACTACTACTACTACTACTACTACTACTACGACTACTACTACTACTACTACTACTACTACTACTACTACTACTACTACTACTACTACTACTACTACTACTACTACTACTACTACTACTACTACTACTACTACTACTACTACTACTACTACTACTACTACTACTACTACTACTACTACTACTACTACTACTACTACTACTACTACTATTACTATTACTACTATTCCTGCTACTACTTGTTCTGCAAATTGTACGACCAATGGCATTATTACTAGTCTAGCAGTGGTACAAGTATTACTAGCACTTCTACTTCCATGGTGCTACTACTCTGTACTACTACTCCTACGGGTACTTTTACTACCTTTAGTATGTCTGAATATACTACTCGTAGTATTACTCGCACTACTTATACTACTACCTATTCGTATCCCCATTCTACTACTACTACTACTACTACTACTACTACTACTACTACTACTACTACTACTACTACTACTACTACTACTACTACTACTACTACTACTACTACTACTACTACTACTAACTACTACTACTACTACTACTACTACTACTACTACTACTACTACTACTACTACTACTACTACTACTACTCTACTACTACTACTACTACTACTACTACTACTACTACTACTACTACTACTACTACTACTACTACTGCTACTACTACTACTGCTACGACTACTACTACTACTACTACTACTACTACTACTACTACTACTACTACTACTACTACTACTACTACTACTACTACTACTACTACTACTACTACTACTACTACTACTACTACTACTACTACTACTACTACTACTACTACTACTACTACTACTACTACTACTACTACTACTACTACTACTACTACTACTACTACTACTACTACTACTACTACTACTACTACTACTACTACTACTACTATACTACTACTACTACTACTACTACTACTACTACTACTACTACTACTACTACTACTACTACTACTACTACTACTACTACTACTACTACTACTACTACTACTACTACTACTACTACTACTACTACTACTACTACCACTACGCGCCAGCACCCAGTTGCGCCAGCATTGTTTCTTATGTTGTGGGAGGGCGGAACGTGTCCGTTGTTCCTTTCAACATGGCCAGTCTTGTCGTCGACGATGCGAAATGCGTGGCGGGAATGGGACGCGGCGCACATCCCGCGCGGACGTCAATGCGGTGTCCTGGGGTATCCTCCACTCGCACTTCAATGCCCGCGCAGCCCCCAGTTGTGCCATCACTGTTTCTTATGTTGTGGGGGGCGGGTGGGAATGGGCATGCCATGCTTGACTCGCTCGAGCTGGCTAGCTTGACCCATACCCATAACTCCTCATCACAATCATCCTCCTCCCCAGAGAGCCAACGTCGCGCGTTTCCACGACATGGGCGCCAATAGCTCCCGACCCCACTCCACGACCAGCCCGGGGGGAAGTCAGAGGGCGGGGCTTTCTCAGAAGACTCGGAAGCCCTCCGGCCTTCTGAGAAGTTGTCTGAGCGCTCCCCGAAGACACAACAACTTCTCGGAAGGCTGGAGGGCTTCTGAGAAGCCCCGTCGCCTTCTGAGAAGGCCTCCTCCTTCTCACTTCCCCCCCTCGCGCGCCGCCGACCCACGCCCCTGGGCCCAACTTTCCGCCGCGGCCCAGCATTTCATGGTCCTGGGTCCCGCTGACTTGCTCGGGCAAGCAAGCTTGCCGTCCTACTCATAGTCCTCCTGCTGCTGTGCCCTCCCCTCTTCGTCGTCCTTCTGTTCCCCATTTTCCCAGTGCGTATCGCACTAATAATTTAAACAATGATAGCAGTATCGCACTGCGGTGTGCGAGCCAAAAGCCACACATTTGGGAATACCACACATTGCCCCCCCTTCCGAATTTACAGAAACCACGAAAAATATCTGGGAGGCCTCGACGTGAAGGGAATTCACACCACAGGCACATGAACAGACGTGGGGACGGAGCGGGCATGTGCCAGTGAAGGGGGAAGAGGGAGAAGGAAAAAGGGGCAAATGGAGGAACAAAGAAACGGCACACACACATAAACTGTTGATGGTCCGCGCGGAAATTCTTGGATCTGCGCTGAACCCCCCTCCCTGGCGCGCGGAGCTCGAGTGGGGCGGCGTTGGAGGCGCTGCCCAGGGGGGCCCGGCGCAGATCCAAGAAATCCACGCGGACGGACCTCCCAAAGTGCAGAATCATACAGTTCTTGGTTCCAGTATACAGCGAGAAAGAGAGAGCGACAGAGACAGAGAAAGAGACAGGGACAGAGAGAGAGAGAGAGGTGGAGGAAGAGGGCGAGGAGGACGAGGAGAAGAGGAGGCACGTGCTGGGAGCAGGAGGTGGAGGAAGGGGAGGAGGGAGGGGGAAGACGAGAACGAGGCGAAGGGGTGTAGATCAGGAAGAATGGATGAGCACAAGGAGAAGTACGAGCACGACGACAAGACGACGAGGACCGGTGAGGACGAGAAGGCGAATGAGGAAGAACGCGCCGAGGACGAGGGTGATGATGAGGAACAGGAGCAGCAGCAGGTACGGCAGAAGCACGACGGAC